AAATAATCATCCCCAGCCGTAGGAACTTGGCAGGGTAGTGGGTGGAATTCCTAATCATCCCCACTATGAGAACTAGCAACTTCCTCCTTCAGAAAGGGGCTCTAATAATCTTTACACTTCCGGCGCCTACAGGTTTTAAGGGTAAGAAGCTGGAAGATGCTCAGGAGCTGAAGGGCGCCTGGAGCCCTCACCAGAAACGCTGGAAGCCTCAGTGGACCGGAGAGACAAAAAGAGGGACACGCAAGGGAAGGAGGCGGTCTTTGCTCCGCTCTGCACTGCCTAGGAAACGCAGGCGGGTTCCGCTTGCCCTTTGCTCACCTTGGTTGGCCGTCATGTAGACGCACTTCCTGTCCTTGCTGATCGGCCGTGGCTTGCCTGGTGCCCATGAGATGAAGTTCAGGAGGGAACGGTCAGACCACCTGGAGAAGGAAAAAAAGGTAAAGGTAAAGGTTCCCTTGCTTGAAAGCCAGTCGAGTCCGACTCTAGGGTTGCGGTGCTCATCTCCGTTTCAAAGCCGAAGAGCCAGCGCTGTCCAAAGACGTTTCCGTGGTCATGTGGTCGGCATGACTAAACACCAAGGCGCACGGAACGCTGTTCCCTTCCCACCGAAGTGGTACCTATTTATCTACTTGCAATCTCTTGCTTTCGAACTGCTCGGTTGGCAAGAGCTGGAACTAGAGATGGGAGCTCACTCCATCATGCGGCATCCGGGTCTTGAACTGCTGAACTACTGACCTTCCACAGTCTGCAGTTCAGCGTCTTAACCACTTGAGCCACCGCAGCTCAACACAAAACACAAACACAAAATCCATGAAATGCCCCTTCTTGAGGTCAACTAAAATGTGTCCCCAGGTGTGACCTGTAGGGAGGCGTCCACATTTTAAGCTCAGTCGGGTATGAATCCATGAGGGTGGGGCAGGGTGGGGGCGGGCACAGACACAGAGGAAAAGAGACTCACCGAAAGCGTCCATCGTTCTCATAGGTGTTCAGCCCAATCCACCAGTACTGATCCTGGCCCCTCGGGAGCTAGCCAAGCAGAGGCGTATCCACAGCAGATGCACAAAACAGGATAGAACAAAACGAAGACAGTGTGTCATTCCTACGACCAGCCCGGCTTGGTCCTGAGATTGCCCTGCCACCCAACACCCAGAACTGCCTCCCCGGGACGCCTGTCTTGTCTTCTTCCACCCCACCCCGCTGCGCCTTTTCAGCCAAACGGAGTGAGCATCAAAAGACACCCTAAAGGAGACCATTCCTTAATCACACGGGAAACAACTGAGATTCCGGAGAGCTTGAACCTTGCATGCGCTTTGGCACGACTAACTCAGATTCTTAGATAACGAACGACACTTGTTTTGTAGAATTTGCAAGATGTGTGCTTCCGCCTGCATCCTCTCTCGGTTGGCACACACCCTCAGGCAGTGCACATGCGTGAGCTCACGGGACAGCTAGATCCCTGGCACATGTTGCCGGAAAGTACACGCTCTGATTAAGTCTTCAGCCACTCAAGCAGAGGTCTTTGGGCAGTCCTGCCATCTATTTGAGGTGACAAGGGTGGCTATTCTCCAGGAGCAGCCGGTGGGTAGGGGGGGGGATTTTGTGCTGCAACTCCATTCATTCTCATTATACAGTCAACTGACCCTGTTTCAACAATACAATACAGTCATTAAAATATGTAGTTTATAATACTGGTACATAGTGGGTTAACAAACTTTGGCCCCGGTCACATGGAAGGTTTTGGCCCGGGAGAGGGACGGATTGGGGGCGCAGCAAACGGGCGCGATCTCACCGCAACATCTGGGAAGCGGTGCGCACACGTCCCCGATCCGGCCCTTCCGGACGAAAACCCGCAGTGAAAAAGAACCACGGAGTGCCGCATCAAGCAGGATCACCTCCGCGCGCTTCGTCCGGAGCAATCCCGGCTCCCGGCTGAACTGCGCATGTGCACACATGTGCGGTTCGGCTGCCTCGCTCCCCTTTCAGTGGCTTCCCCCCCGGCATCTGATCGTGCCAGGGAGGAAGTGCGCGGCGGCTTAGGGGATCTATGTGATCCCGCCGCCGCGTGTCTTTTTTGGTGCGGCTTTAAAAAGCCGCACTTTGCCAGTTTTTCCCCCATGTGGCAGGGGCCTTCCTTTATTTTATTTATTTATTCCTTCATCATCCTAGATCTAGTCTCAGTGGCTACTTAAAAAAACAAACACATTCAACAGTAAATATATACATTATTTTCAGCAAGGAAAAAGGGTAACGAAATCTATGGCTGAACAACCTGGGGTGAAAGTGGAGTGTAAATGAATTAATTAAATTAAATAAACGTATCTCTTCTAGTAGATGCAAGACAACAGCACAGGGGCCACAGTTGCTACTACCATTCCACCACAAGGGAAAAATAATGTTTGAAGGAATTATTCTTCATATGTTTGGAAAGTGTCCCAGGTATTATGGTAGGAAGGAAAAAGTGGTGTCTTTCCTTGCTTGGAAGCGCCCTCAGACCAAGGGTTCCCTGGAAAACACATTGGTAACCTGCTGCCACCACTCAGGATCTCCAGAGAACATGTAGACTGACCCACTGAGAAGGTTGTCTTCCAGTGCAGTACTAGAACAATAATGAAGTGACAGAGTAGAAACCCTAGGAAATACCTTATAACCAACTCTGTTGCACCCCTACAGTCTAGCACATGGGGAAGAGATGGAGAGAAATATCCCAAAGAAATAAATTTTACGAAGCCAAAAAAAGTCTTTTAAAAGGTGCATTATAAAAGACAGAAGAAAAATGAAAAGGGTGGCTGGATTCAAAAAGTGATGGGAAAAGGGCAAAAACAAAATACAAAGAAAGGCACACAGCTCCAACAGCATGGGGGTGTTCAAATGAAAAGCAATACAACTGAACTAACTAAGCTAAATGTGTTACCTAGGCTGTAGCAGGTTCCTCAGAGCATGCACAGAGTTCCTTGCAGTAACAAGGAGTAACAAGGAGTTGGAGGGGTTGTTAACCCCACTCAACCTCCTGTGGCCTCGGTTTCCACTGAAAAGAAGGGGAAATCCCAAATGTCCACATATTTACGGTAAATGGAACGGGACCTTTCTAAGAGTGACAAGGACCATGCAAATCCCCATCTCTGATGTCAGAGGCTACGATTAACAATCAGAGCCATACAAAATGGCTTTCTTTGTTTGTAAACTGTGCCGGTAAATTATTTGGATGATATTCGATTGCAATGTTGATGGTAACAAATATAGTCCCAGTCCCACCTCCATCAAGCATCTGGGGATGGCTCTGAATTTCCATAACAAATAGGTGGCCTGGCCCAAACCAGAATGTCCTTTGTCTGAAAGGGGTTAACTCCGGCAGGATGGTCCAGTGTGGAATGGAAGTGGAAGGGTCATTCTAATGTAACATTCCAGGAATCCAAGTTCCCTCTAGGGGGCACTCATGAGCTTTAGTAAGTTTAGGGTCTCTGCCATACCAGGCATAAGGTAAAGGTTTCCCTTGCTCGAAAGCCAGTCGAATCCAACTCTAGGGGGCGGTGCTCATCTCTGTTTCCAAGCCGAACAGCCAGCGCTGTCCAAAGACGTTTCCGTGGCCATATGGCCGGCATGACTAGATGCTGAAGGGCATGGAACACTGTTACCTTCCCACCGAAGCAGTACCTATTTATCTACTTGCAGTTTCTTGCTTTCAAACTGCTCGGTTGGCAGGAGCTGGAGTCAGAGATGGGCGCTCACTCCGTCATGCGGCACTCGGGTCTCGAATTGCTGAACTTCCAGACCTTCCAGTCTGCAGTTCAGCGTCTTAACCACTGAGCCACCGCAGCCCTTATCATACCAGGCATACATTGCTGTAATTCTTACACTGCCACAAAGCAGAAGGGGGCTAAACCACTCTGCTAACGATAATCCATTGTTGCTACAGACTGCCAATTACATACATGGCAGAGATCACAGACTCACAGAGTTGGGAGGGGCCATACAGGCCAATTAGTCCAGAGGTGTCAAACTTGTTTGTTATGAGGGCCGGATCTGGCATAAATGTCACTTTGTTGGGCTGGGCTGTCATGCCAGGGACCAGAGATATAAACTGTATAAATGGCAGCAGCTCATAAGCTCCCGGTTGCTGTATCCTCACTGCAAGGCTACGTGGGCTAGGAGGGGGGTACAGAGGAAAACCCACATGGGCGGACTGGAGAGCCAGCAGTGCAGCACTGCAGACGAGGTTGTTCTGCTGTGATGAAGCCATAATCGGAGTGGCTCCGCCCACTCCCCCCACCCCAGCCAGCCAGCCTCCTGTTCCCTCCCTGGCACCAGTTGCTCACGGGCCACATAAGAGCCCTGGGCGGGCTGGTTCTGGCCCTTGGGCCTTATGTTTGACACCCCTGATCTAGTCCCACCCCCCCCTGCTCAATGCATGGTCAGCCCAGAGCATCCCTGACAAGTGTTCGTCCAGCCGCTGCTTGAAGACTGCCAGGGAGGGTGGAGCTCAAAACATTGAGCAGATCCATCGGGGAATAAGCAAAACTGTAGACTGAAGTAGACAAAAGATGGAGGCTACAGAAAACACGTACATGTTTTTCCTGACAGGGAACAGAGGCAGTGATGTCTTGATGCATGTCAATATTCTCTCTCACACAGCAGCACATTTTACATCTAAAGCCACAGCACAGCATCCCCCCCCCCCCCCAGCAAGCACCAAGGTCATCAAGAGCGACTGCACCTCCCTATCCCTTCCACACCTCCACGCAGAGGTACCCCACGCACACCCCTACCTCTACAACTGTGGCACACACACACACCCCGCACATGCAGAAAAGCAGCCCTCCCTCTCTCCCCTCTCCCTCAGCCTCCCGCCCTCAGCAGCGAGGGGCCCGTTGAGGCCCGTCCTCCTTTTGAGAACGAGGCTTCGCCCACCCGATGGACCAAACAAGCACTACTTAGTTCCCTCTGCATTTAGAACGGGGCATTCAAAGCCTCCTGACTTTAGGAAACGCTGGATTCTCACCCAACTAGGGAGGGGAAGAGAGTGTATTTTTCATGTGATCTAAACCCAGCACAAGTGGGCGCTTTCCATCCATTTTAAGAGGGCAAAAAAGATAACTGGAAATAGGGAAGCCTCACAGCTCAAAACAGCCCAGCCCAGCCCAGCCCTTCCTTAGTGGATATTTATGAAACTGGGTCAGATTAGGTCCCACCAGGGCTATTTTTGGGCAGGAACGCACAGGAACGGAGTTCCGGCTGGCTCCCAAGTTGGCCACGCCCAGCAGGAACTCATTAGCATAATAGGCCACACCCAACAGCAGAAACTCATTAGGATTGGCTACATTAGGGGTGTGTGGCCTATCATGCAAAGGAGTTCCTGCTACAAAAAAAGCCCTGGGTTTTGACAACAGACAAGGTCAGCAGAATAACAAGCAAAAGGTGGGTGTGGCTGGATGACCACACTTCTGGTCACATGGGGGTGCGGCCTAATATGCTAATGAGCTATGCTTTCATGGGTGTGGCTGGATATGCTAATGAGTTTCTGTTGTTGGGTGTGGCCTATTATGCTAATGAGTTCCTGCTGGGCTTTTTCTACAAAAAGAGCTCCAAGCTCAAGGGCAAACGGCCTTGATTTTATGACTAATGCAACTTTCAGGCCTTATGATCAAAATCTCCCGTGTGACCGGGGCCAGAGTGTATTTTTCATGTGATCTAAACCCAGCACAAGTGGGCGTTTCCCATCCATTTTAAGGGGGCAAAAAAGATAACCGGGAATAGGGACACTTCACAGCTCAAAACAACCCAGCCCAGGGTCAGATTAGGTCCCACCCCAACTTTGCCCTTCAAGCTCCAAGGGCAAACGACCTTGATTTGATGACTAATGCAACTTTCAGGCCTTATGATGACAGAATGCTGAAAAAGGCACCTCCTGGGGTTGTATAATAATACCGAACTAATTAATACATTCACAAGTTATCTCCTGCATTCTCCTCCCCTCCACGCCTTCAGCAAAGAGGCAGAATAAAGTGCACTATGCGTGTTCCTAAATTTTTGGCCTCATTCAGCCATCAAATTCCTGCCACTCGCACCCTGGAATCTCTCCCACAACTGAAGGCAATTTCAGCTGTTTCTGTTTTAATGTCAATTTACCACTGTACACATTATTGTCAGGACACAACCTCGATCGGCTTGAGAGTCTCCCCCCTACCTTCTTCAGGTTTTGACCCAGGAAATCCAGCTCAGCTTGGCTGTGAACGGATGCCAACTCAGCCTGGAACCAGGTGCAGATCCTTTGGGCTTGCACCCAAGTTGAATGGAGGCTGAAGAACTTGTATTCAGCATCCTGATACTTCACCCATTCGTTGCCCCCTGTGGAGAAGTGGAGATAGAAGCAGAATCACAATGAAACACGTTTCTCAGCGACCCTTTTTCCCCCTTTACATCTGCACCGGCAAGGCGGGATACAAATCGAAAATAATAAATAAATAAACAAATTTGTCGAGTGCTTGGCTTTTCCAGTGGAAGAACTATTTGTTCTGACATTGTGGCGCGCGCACACACACACATACACACACAGAGGTTTCCCAAAAGAGGCCACCCAAATACTGTCAAGGGAAGCATACAGACAGAGCCACTCCCTGTGGTTCATTCCCAGCATCTGATCAGCAGAGGCAATGAGCCTTAAGAA